AGACAATAGCTCCCTGGACTGCTTCTCAAGCTTGGGCCTAAGGTGGTGCCTGATGCTTAATAGTAGGTATCTTTCTTAAATTAGTGAATGAAAAGAGATTGAGATGGTGGTTTAAGAACAAGAACTTGTTTAATGTAAGTGTTTCTTTAGATTTCAATTCCCAACCTTATGATCTACAGATAATAATGATGGTTTTAAATAAAGACTATTCTGGCAGTTTGCTCTCTTTTACCTGGTTTATTTTTTTTTGGTCATGAAGATTATACTGTTACCTCTGTATTCCCCAAGAATCGGTTTTGACTCACTGTGTATGGTGAATTATTCAGAGCTCATCAATGTTTTTGGCCCATAGTAGGTACTCAGGTTATAGTTTGGAAATGAATTATGAGATAAACAAGAGAATGTCTGTGTTCTCATCTGAACCACTATAATGCATTGCAGCAATATTGTCTCCAAGAACCCCAGATTATAACTTTCTCAGTTCTAATTATATCTCCAATGGAGTAGTCACTAATGTTGTTACTTTAGTTTTTCCATACCACGAAGATGTAATTACTGCCTCTTTCTTTGAATGTCAGTGCTCCAATACATTGTTGTAAAATTTTCTGTTCTTTACTATTCTTATTTTTGCTATGTTGTTCTATATATCCACTGTATTAGTCAGTTTCTGTTGCTTACAACAAAATACCTGATACTGGGTAACTTATAAAGAAATTGAATTTATTTCTTACAGTTTGGGAGGCTGGGAAATCCAAAGTCCATGGAACACATGTGGCGAGGGCCTCGTTGGTGGTGACTCTGCACAGCGATGCAGGGTATCACATGGAAGATGGCTTGAGCAGAGAGAGACTAACCTCCTCACTTGTTCTTTTTTCAAAGGCATCAGAAGCATGCCCCTTACTCCATGAATGGATCAATCCATTCAGAAGGGCATAGTTCTCCCAATCTAATCAAGGACCCACCTTTCAATTACCGTAAAACTATCTTCCATACTCCTTAACACTGTCACAATAGGGATTGTTTCTAATACATAGACCTTTGGTGGACACATTCAAACCAGATCATCCATTAAATTTTTTTAATAAAATATGTCTGTTGTTTGTTTCAAAAACTACAGAATTTATATAGTTTAGTTTAATAGTGATATGCTATTAATACTGCAGTTTGAAATGTATCCAATGTTTCCTAAAGTCTCATTTTTGTTTAATGATTTCCTAGCAGTTACTAAAAAAAGAAACTCAAGAAAGTTAAAATGGTTGAAGCATGTTTTAGTGGACTACATTTTATTTTTCCCACTCTGTTGTAGAGGTAGGGGCTCAGTAAATAGAGGATGAATATGAGCAGTCTTTGTGATAGGATGGGAACCCAGCCTTTATATAATATATACTAGTGTGTGTGTGTATGTGTATACCTACACACACATGCTATATGTAAGAAAACTGTCACTCCAAGAATACACACACACACACACACACACACACACACACACACACACACACACACACACACA